GACAATCAAGAAATGTGTTCAGCAGGAGCAGGTTTAGCAGTGAAGAGGAGAAGAGCAGGGTTTGATCTGGATGTGCTTCACATGCCCAGAGAAGAGAGGAGGAGACACTCAAACTCTCGGACGGCACACTGGATCACACTGGAACGCTCTTAGAAAGCACTTCATTCATCTGCTGAGGAGGACACTACCTGAAACGAGATCAGACGAATGATGGAGGTGAGTTTCTGGAACAGTGATGAGATTTATGCAGAATCTGAAGCAGAAAAACAGCATTAAGCTTTGTTTTAAACACCAACTTTGTAAAGTGTAAACCGGTTGAACAGAATTGCTTTTTAAGTATTGAACATAGAGCATACTTCAGCAGAAATCAAGAGCGTTTTAGTCACAAAATGTCATTTGTAGCCGTGCTGAGAATTTATAATGGTCACCACTTTCAAACCAACTTCAACTCCTGACAGATCTACAGTAAGCAAGGTCCTGAAAGCATATAGTTAAATTATATTTATAACTGAATGCTGAGAACAACAGTTTGAGAGTTTCTTTTCTCACAATGAGCGACATCATGCAGCAGCAGGAAGTGCAGTTACAGGATGTTTAGAAATTCTGAGTTGTCTGTTTACATTTTTTCTGAATTTATGATTTAATACAGATTTATCATCAAAAACGGTAGTAATAAGATGAAGGCACAAAACATTAAAAACATTAGTCCTTAAAATAAGTTTAAATAATTGTATTATTATTATTATTATTTTGAGTAGTACATTCTACTGTGCAATAGTAATATATTGTCAAAATTTCTTTAAGTTAAACCGGACTTTTATTTTGTCGGGTTGTCGTAAAGACCTGTGAGTGATGTGATGATGGTATTTGTTCTCAAAAGAAATGGTGAAAAGCTCATGCTGCTTCAGTATGTGTGTAGCAGATGAAACCGTGACATTCCCCTGCCCCTACGACTGTCCTTGCAGCGTTTGAGGAGAAAATGTCAAATAGTAATAGAAAACACGTTAACTAGAGTGAAGAAGAGTCTGTTTCATTCTAACCTTTATAGGATTCCCTTAATCTGAGGTTTAGAATCACCCAGGGTTAACTATTTGAATTGTGAAAAGCCCTTTGGATGGACATTTTGTATCTAATGAAAGTGTTTAAAGACTTTTTTGGGCCACTGTAGAGTGTCATCCCAACCGAACTCAAGTCTGATCTAAAGTGAAGACTGGTTTTGCAGATTTTCTTGCAATATTTCACATAAGTGTCAAGTTCCTGCAGAGCTCGGACAGTCTGGTGTCAGTGGACTCTGAACTGGCGCAGTGTGAGACGGAGGTCAGCACTTTACTGAAGATCATTTCTGACCTCAACAGGAAGATGGACTCCCTACATATACCACGGTAACCCCTGCCTCAAACAATTGCAAACTAAATATATATTTTCTTGCTCTACACTATGTGAAAAGGTCTGTGTTGTCATAGAGAGATGGAAACGTCGGAGGGTCCAGTCCGGGTCAGTGGGAGCGTCCCGCAGCAGGGCTCAAGCCTCACAGCGGTGCACGCTGGCACAGCATCTGTGGAGTCCAAGACCTGCAGGGACTCAGAAGGCATGTTGTGTTTATACAATGCCTCATCATCAATCACAGTAAATGCGGTGTCAGAACGGACAGCCTGCTATTTACTGCGCTATTGGTCCTGCCAGACTTTTGTTTCCAAATGCAAAGCTACTTATTAAACTTTAAAATACATTTCTCTGGGCACATTATGACATTTACACATGCAAGTATTTTTTTTCTAAATGAAGACTCCTGAGAAATTGTATGCA